AGCTTTGCCGAGATTAACGAGTGCCACTGGGGACGGAAGTGTACCAGGATGGGCTTTTCTGGGAGGACAGAGATGTGCCTGCCCACCCTCCCCGCCACAGGGTGACTCCTTGGGAGCACAGTGGGACCTGTCGCCTCGTCTTTCGATTCTACAGTGTGAAGTTAGGACCTTCTGACCCTTGGAACTGTCAACAGTTCCCTCCGGAGTTAGCACAAGATTGACATGCGGCAAACACAGGTCCATCTTCCTGTCCCTCAAGGAGATCAAAGAAGTTCCGATTGTTTTATTTTGGGGGTAGAGGTCGGCATAATTGGGGTGAAATCCTGTCCTGACTTGGTAGAACCTTTTGTGTTTGCTCACAAGCACGTAGCTGATGGTGCTTACCCAGCAGCAAAGTTACCTTCTGGGGCCCTCTGTGCTGGGTTCAGTCCCAGCTGCTCCGCTTCCAATTCAGTTTCCTGCTAACGCGCCTTGGAAGGCAGTGGATGATGGCCCAAGTATTTGGGCCCCTGCCACTCATTGTGGGTGATGAGGATGCACTCCTTGTTTCCTGCTTTGGGCCTGGACCTGGCTGTTGCAGTCATGTGGGAAGTGAACCAGCAAATAGAAGATCTCTCTCTCTTTCAAGATTTATTTATTCATTTTGAAAGAGTTACCAAGAGAGAGAGGCAGAGAGAGATACCTTCCAGCTGCTGGTTCACTCCCCCAGATGGCCACAAAGGCCAGAACTGGTCCAGGACAAAGACGGGAGCCAGGAGCGTCACCTGGGTGGCAGGGGCCCAAACACTTGGGCCATCCTCTGCTGCTTTTCCCAGGCCATTAGCAAGGAGTTGGGCTGGAAGTGCAGCAACTAGGACGCAAACCGGTGCCCAAATGGAATGCTAGTGTTGCAAGTGGCTGCTTCACCCACTAAGCCACAACACCAGCCTCTCTCTTTCTCTGTCTCTCCCTCTCTTTGTTACTCTGCCTGAAAATACAGAAATAAAATCCACATTGGTACAAAAGGAAGCTTGCTGTCAGGACTGTTGTGTTCCCCTTCTCCAGGGTAAGGGTTGATAAACATTCTGTGCAGTTCTTGGCCTCTTCTTCCAAACCTGGGAGAAAATGTGCCTGAAAGCCAGGAAGCTCAAATATCTTTCCTCCAGGAATTAAAATGTTGAGGCCCTCACACCACAGGGAGACACAGCACCGTGCTGTTATTTAGCAAATGGCTTAGCTTTCCCCTTCACTCTCTGCTTCCCTTACCCTAAATTCCTTCTTAGCTCTTTTTTTTTTTTTTTTGAAAGGCAGAGTTCACAGAGAGAGAGACAGAGAGACAGACAGAGAGAGAGAGCTCTTCCATCTGCTGGTTCACTCCCCACATGGCTGCAATGGCCTGGGCTGGACCAGGCCGAAGCCAGGAGCCAGGAGCTTCTTCAGGGTCTCCCATGCGGGTCCAGGGGCCCAAACACTTGGGCCATCCTCTGCTGCTTCCTCAGGCCATAAGCAGAGAGCTGGATTCAGAGGAGCAGCGGAGACATGAGCTGGTGCCCATGTGGGACGCAGGCATTGCAGGCGGCGGCTTAACCTGCTATACCACAGTGCTGGTCCCACCCTTAGCTTTTGCTGCATAAAGCTCATGGAAAATGGAATTCAAAGATATTTATTTTGGTGTAAAATTTTTTTTAAAATTCATGTACACGAGAGATCTGAACAGTTCGTGGAAAATGTATATCATGACAAAAAACTATGCACGAATTTCACAAAATTTTGGAGCCAAACTAAACTGATTTCTTCTTGCATTTTGCTGTGAGCTTTTTGAAGCGTCCACAAGCACTAGCGGGAAGGGATCTGCTGTGCACTGTCTCTCTCACACTGACAGTATCAGCTGCCTGAACCAGGGGCGCGGTCTGCTGGCTGCCATCTCTCCCAGAGTTGAAGCCACCTTGGTCGTGCCCACAGTTCTCTTCCTGGGTAGCCCCTAGTCTTCATTCCTTCACAGTCCACACCCACCCCACGCTCACTGATCAGACCCAAGCCACCTCATTTTCAATTGCTTCTGAAACAAAACCTCCCATGAAACAGAAAGCTTGCTCTATGCCAGGATACTCCCCGTCGTAAAGCAATCCAGTCACCAGCTTATTGTCTGGGCAACTTTCTGACTTGTGAAACGGCGTCTCCTATGCTGTTCACGGACCGGCTAGCGAGGGAGCAGAGGCTGCAGCCTGGGGGCTGAGGCTGATGTGGCCAGGAGAAGGCAGGGCATGGAGACGGGCATCTGTGGTCCCCAGCACAGCTCCTTGAACGCTGTGCTCCTTTGTGCCATGCAAATGAGGTGCTGATGAGGTCACTGCTTCCTGCTGGATTATTATCTCTGACATTTTACTCATAATAATTATAGAGTCTTTCCACCTTCAAAGTGCTTTGCAAACAATAATTAATTAATTAACACGCGCAACACCCCGGTGAGGTAGCTTAGGATTATTAATTTCTCTCTACAGTATATTATTACCTGCTGTTCCCCCACCCCACCCCACCCCCCCCACCGAAGCAGCCGCCTCGCTTCTGTGCTGGGTTCCTGGGCCTCGGCCCTGGCGCGCCTGCTGCCCTCGCTCAGCTGCACTGTGCCCGCGGGGTCTGCAGCCCCGTGGATGCCTCCCTGGACTCTGGGTGGGGCTCACCAGCAGCGAGCGCCCACCTGTCTGGCAGGCAGGAAGCCTGCGGGATCCTTCTTTGCAGTTCCAGTTCTGCCCCTGGCGCACCCCCAACCCACCTTTTGCTGACTCAGATCTCAGCCTCTGCCTCCCAGCCCCTTATTTTGTCTTCCTTTTTAAATCCCAGTGCAAGCATAGCTCTGATCCCTGTTCTTCACCTTGTCTTTGTCTTTCTGTTCCTTTTCCATCTCTCTAACTCCATCTCCTGCTCCGATCCAGTCATTCATTCTCCTGGTTATTTGGATTTTAATTATGTAAATTAGGCTTCTCTGAGGGGCGCTTAGAGGCAGGGCATCCTTTAACTCCTCTCTGCCTGCTCCCGGCTCTCAGTTTTATCTCCTCTCCTTGGTACCGCCCTGCCAGCTTCCGCTCCAGTCCTGCCACTCAGAGCCGCCCCCACTTCATTCTCGTGCTCACACGGATCACCCTGTGCCAGGCCCTGGGCTCAGTGCGAGGGAGGGTGGGTGACAAAGACAAATGATGACCCAGGCGCCACCCCAGGGCCAGAAGTACTGTGGTGGCAGCTTCCGGGAGACTCCGTGGTTTATCCAGCGGCAGGGGTTAATTGTCCTTCAGCCTGGGAGTAGGAAGAGGGGTGGGGTCCCCAAACCCCACAATGGGGGGACTCTTCAATAATGAGGGGGAAGGGAAGGGCATCCCAGATACAGGGACCAGCACGAAGAAGAGCGTGCGGGACTGGGATTACTCAAATAGCCTCTGAGTTCGCCTTGAGCCACGGGGAGGCAGCTGCTCCACCAACACCCTTCGGAGGCGAGGGGGAAATCAAAGCCATTGCGTTGAGGGGGCAGATTTTATCCATCCTGATGTAGGCAGGACAAGCAGGGACAATCTGCTTCACACAGCAGGCAGCAGCAGCTGCCTCCGAAAATCTGTCCTCAGCATCTTTGTCCTCCTCCAGTGTCCCTCGGGAACCACCCCCGGATGATTCTCTCCCTGAATGCCACAGCCTCCAGGGTCCCTGTTCTCAGCACTGTGGGTTTTCAGGCCTGCCCGGCTCCTGCTCCTCTCTGGCTCACTCTCACCCCCTCACACCACCTGTCTGCTGGGTGCAGAAGCCCTTCCATCAACAGAGATTGGGGGGAAATGATCAAGATGGGCAGGGGAGGGGCCGGCGCTGTGGTGCAGTGGGTAAAGCCCCTGCCTGCAGCACCAGCATCCCATATGGGCGCTGGTTCGAGTCCCGGCTGCTCTACTTCCAATCCAGCTCTCTGCTGTGGCCTGGAAAGCAGTAGAAGATGGCCCAAATCCTTGGGCACCTGCATCCATGTGGGAGACATGGAGGAAGCTCTGGACTTCTGGCTTTGGATCAGCTCTGCTCTGGCCATTGAGGCCATTGGGAAGTGAACCAGTGGATGGAAGACCTCTCTCTCTCTCTCTGGCTCTACCTCTCTCTGTAACTCTTTCAAATAAATAAAATAAATATTGAAAAAAAAGAAGGCTGGGTGACTTTGGTTTTCCCAAAATGCTTTGGGTGACTATGACCCCCACACATCTCCTTTCCTCCCATCATTCACAGGTCAGCTTCCAACACAATCCTCAAAGCCTTAGTGATAGCAATAGCAAACATTCATTGCACAATAGTAGACATTTACAGTGTTCCTACTGGAATTCAGATGCTAAACAATGTGCTTCCAGAATAATCCATTTAATCCCCATAATTACCTCCTGAAGCAGGTGTTACAGAGCACCAGCTCTGTCCAAGGCGGATTTGTAAGTACTTTTCAAATATTAGCTCATTTAATTCTTCTAACAACCCAAAGGCAATACTGTCAATGTCTCACTTTTATAGACGTGAGTGACTGGCTGGACTTCGAGCCCAGTCAGTGATGCTCTTGAACATACCCTTGCCTGAGGAAGCATTATTCTGCCTCAAAAAGCAGCAATAGGCAGAACTTGCTCATTGATAAGAATGTGAGTGATAGGCCAGTGCCGCGGCTCATCCTCTGCCTGCGACACCGGTACCCCGGGTTCTAGTCCCAGTTAGGGCGCTGGATTCTGTCCCGGTTGCCCCTCTTCCAGTCCAGCTCTCTGCTGTGGCCCGGGAGGGCAGTGGAGGATGGCCCAGGTGCTTGGGCCCTGCATGCATGGGATACCAGGAGGAAGCACCTGGCTCCCGGCTTTGGATCGGCGCAGCGCGCCAGCCGTAGCAGCCATTTGGGGGGTGAACCAATGGAAGGAAGACCTTTCTCTTTGTCTCTCTTTCTCACTGTCTAACTATGCCTGTCAAAGAAAAAAAAAAAGAATGTGAGTGATAGAGTAAGTACAAAGAGGCATCAGAAAACTCACAGTATGTTTTAATTCCATGATTCCATGAGCTTGTTGAGGACCCTCATTCAGTAGAGCATTTCATAGATATGGGAGCATCGGAGTGAGCCCCTGCCCACACCTCTGTGGAGGACGGCTGGGAAGAATGGCAAAGCTTGGGGATCAGGTCTGTCCACAGTGCTCACATTCCTCCACGAAGGCTATGAAGTAAGAGCAAAGTTGCTCTCAACAACAGAAATGGCCAACCACAGAGGACGATGTGTCCAGATGACGGTGTTGTCCATGGCGTGTGGGAAGCAGGCTTGTGATGTCACCACTGCATTTCCGGGGAGCTGGGAGAGCAAGGGCTTCTGAGGTAGGAGGAGCTGCCCCAAGTGTGCTCAGCCCCGTCTTCCACACAGCAGTCAGGGCAGCTGGAACACGGATCTGATTGTGTGCTACCCTCCCTGCCAAGTACACTCAATGGCTCCCTTCACCTGCCACATAAACTCGACACCACGCAATTCCTTCTCCTACCCCCACCTTGCCTTGCACTCTAAATTCCAGCCACCCAGTCCAGCTGACCCTCAGGGTGCTTTCCTTGTCCCTTTCAGGCCTCTGTGTGTGTGTGTGTGTGTGTGTTCATCTTTCCCTTGGTCCTACTCTACCTCCTCAATCCCACCCTGTCCACTTCCAGTATCCCTTCCATACCTCTCTTCTGTCCACTTCTTCAGGTCTCAGTCACTTGGCACCTGCCTTTGAAGGCCCTTGTTGACTTCCCAAACTGACTTAATTTAAGTCTACCTCCATTTTTGTGCTGGCATTCTTTGAGCCAAATCCTGTATTTTTCTAATTGGAGTAAAATACACAGAACACAAAACTGAAAACCTTGACCATTTCTGAATGTACAGACCAGTACTGGTAAATGCGTCCCCACTACGGTGCAACTTTCCCCCGAAACCCTTCTCACTTTGCAAAACAGAAACGCCACACTCATCAAGCACCAACTCCCCACAGCCCTACACACACCTGGACAGTCCCTGACAATCATCGTTCTACTGTTTTTGTTAATTTGGTTTTTCTGTATCTCTCTAACCCCCCTTCTCTTTTTGAAGATGTATAATAGTTCTGTCCTGGGTGTGTGATCTGTTACTATTTGGCTATGGTTTGGGTGTCCTCTAAGGTTCACGTATTGGAAGCTGGGTACTAGATGGTGAAGTTGGGAGGTGGTAGGACTTTAAGAGGTGGAGCTCAGTGCAAGGTGATTAGGTTGGGGTAGGGCATAGTCCTGCCCCTAGAAGGGATTAAAATAGTTCTGGGATTCCACAGTTCCCCTGAGATTGAGTTGCTATGAAAGATCAAGCTTAGTCTCTTCCTAAGTTCAGGGCTTCCTGTGCTCTCTTCCTCAATGACAAAGCCAAGGGAGCCCCGGACAGGCGCCTCCAAAACTGTGAACCAATGAACCCTCCTTTCTTTACAAAGCCTCAGGTACTTCATGACAGCGATGGAAAACTGAGCACGGCAGTATCAGAGCCCATCCCTCCGGGGTGCAGAATGTGTTCTTTTCACTGTTAAGCTATCTCGGGTGCCACTCTGGACTCCCATCCTCTAGGGACAGCAGGAATTCCAGTCCAGTCATGACCAGGCCCGACTGCCCCAGGCGTTCTGCAGTGACCAGGTCTCCTCTGTTCTTACAGCACAGGGGAGCCCACTCCACTCGCTGGCCTTCACCAGCCCTTCCGGGTTCCCAGAGTCCCACATCATCTCAGCCCACAGGCCCTCCAGGGCTAGCGGCCCCTCGGCCTCAAGTTCACATCTGGGAGATTTGGGGTGACATTGGGATCCTCTGGGCCTTGTGGGTCTGTCCAGGTTGGCTACACCCACCCTCTGTGGTCCTCCCATGTCCCCTGGCCTCCCTGTCTTCCTGCCTCACCTCTTTCATCACCCTCAAAGTCCTGGCTCAGCCTTGCACCCCACAAGTCCTCTTTCCTCCTTCCTGCTGCCCTCAAAGGTTCCCTCTCCCTCTCCACCTCTGAGACTCCACCATGCTTTCTTCAAAGAGCTTGGGAGTTTTATAAAAGCTTTGACTTCAAGCAGCTTCTGTTTTCTATCCTGAAAATATCCCCAGGCAAGGACAGGCAAAGGGCCTATCCACCTGTTGATCTGCAGGAACATAAAAAGAGAGCAAAATACAAAACAATAACCAAAATACCACTCTGCTATATCGATAGGGATTCTTTTTTTGTGCGTGTGTTTTTAAAAGTTCTTCTACATTTGCTTATTAATTTTTAAAAATATTTTATTTATTTATTTGAAAGGCAGAATTACAGAGAGGCAGAGACAGAGGCAGAGAGAGAGAGAGGTCTTCCATCCACTGGTTCATTCTCCAGATGGCCACAATGGCTGGAGCTGAGCCGATCTGAAGCCCGGAGCCAGGATCTTCCTCCAGGTCTCCCACATGGGTATAGGGGCCCAAGGACTTGGGCCTTCTTCTGCTTTTCCAGGCCACAGCAGAGAGCTGGCTTGGAAGTGGAGCAGCCAGGACTCGAACTGGTGCCCATATGGGATGCTGGCACTGCAGGCGGCAGCTTTACCCACTATGCCACAGCACCGGCCCCCTCAATAGGTATTCTTACTTTTCTCCCTACTGGACAGGAAACAGTTCTAGAATGGGTGCTGTCTCCTCACTGTGTCTCTCTCATCTCCCTGGCAGAGTAGCTTCTCAATGAGCATGAAGCTATAAGCAAATACATGCACAAATGAAAGCAACTGGGATTTCTCAACCAGACTTCGCGCCCTTTAATATGTATGTGGGTGTACAGTAGACCTGTCTTGACTCAGGCAGGGGTAGAGAGGTACAGTCCTACTGCCTATCACCTTTATTTTTCCCTCAAGTTTTCCCAGATGAAAAGTATGTACAATTCAAGATGTCCAAATAATAGAAAATTATATTATATTTCAAAATCTTAGTTTGTTGGGAGATGGGGAGGGGGGTTGAGTGCGGGGAGGAAATGGTATGATCCTCCCACCCTACAAGGCAAGAGTCTCTTAACTCACTGCTCCCATGTGTGGCCAAGTAGCCATTCTCTCCTGAATGAATGAGTGACTGAATGGTAGGGACTGAGTAGCCCTCATCGCAAATGCATGGGGGCAGAATTGTTTTGGATTTTGGAGTGTTTCGAATTGGGGAATATTTGCAGAGACTTTAATGGCTGAGCATTCCTAACCTGAAAATCTGAAATCCAAAATGCTCCCAAATTCAAAATTTTTTGAGCACTGTCATGACGCTCTAGTCAGGGGTGCTCAACCTGTGGTACCCTAGGAACGAGAGCGGAACCATATTTCTGCCTGTACAGCCACACTCCGGGCGGCAGAAGGAACTGTGAGAGGAGAGAGTCAATTAACAGGCAAAGGATTTCACATCCAAACCGGGAGCCAATCGCAGAAACACAGGGATGTCAGGCGACACCGCAGCGAGCGAAGACCTGCTGTTGGTTGTGCTCAGCTGGGAGACTGGGCGGCCACTGCGCTGGGGAGGACATGGTCAGTGTGACATAAAGAAAGCCCTGTCATGCTGCTGGTCTCCGTGGAGAACCTAGTTCCTGCAGTGGGCGGCATCCAGACGGTTCTCTCTGGCCGCCATCTGTAATAGCCAGCCCCAGTCACTGACCTCTGACCCATCCTCTCCTGCACACTTCAAAGGACTCCCCATGAGGGAAAGTGACAAAAGGCCGGCAAGAGGGTTTGGGGGAAGGGAGGGCACCAGCTAAATAATTAGCCCTGCAACCTTCAAAGGACTCTATAATCATTCATTAATCCACCCAACTGGGACCTGTGGGCAGATGGACGCTCCGCTCCTCGCCTGCCCAGACACACCCATCGCTCACTGGAGCCTGGGAACAGAGCAAATGTCTCTGGGAGCAGTGGGGCCACCTGAGAGGAAAGGCACTGGAAAGAAACACTAGGCTTTGGCTTTGAGATTCACTATTGATAACAACATTTTGGATAACTGGGTGAGGTGGCCAATGTAGAGCAGGGGGCTTTGAGACTGACCCATCCTGTGGCTGGGACATGGGACCCTGGATGAGCTTAACTCCAAAAAGTCAGGTCTGAGGACACTGAGTGGGCAAGGAGGCTGTGCCCATGTGAGTGGATGGTTCTGGACCTCACCGTGGGTAATGCCAAGGAAGGAGGCTGACATGGTGAGGACCACTGCCTCTGTTCCACCATCCACCATGACCACGTGGAGCAGAAGCCCTGAAGACACCCAGGATTGGTGTCAGAAGGGGCACAGCAGGGATCCCCAGACCCCGCTCCTCCTTTACTGTGAATCCTACCATGGGGGAGCTTGGCTGTCTGGGGAGACGTTTAGACTGTTCTATCATCTGCCAGTATGCAGTCCTTGCAAGATACGAACTAGAAGGAGGATGCAGGTGGAGACGCTTTCCCACCAATGGGCTCACACTTTCCAGTTCACTATTCCCATCAATGCTTAGAAAGGAAAATGATCGGTGGGACTGGGACATCACCAGCGACACAGATTACCAACTTCTCCAAGATGCACAAGGTATTGTGCGCTCCAGCAAAGTCACAGAAGTGCCTAGTCCTGGGGTATGCATACTATCAAGTGCCATGTCTTAAAGTCATTAGGACTTGAGAATAACGAGTCATCCTGGCACAGTGTACAAGAGGCTGATACATAACATCAACATGAATTATTACAGGTGCCCAGGACCAGAAGTGGTTCAGATTTTGGATTTTTTTTCCAGATTTTGGGATATTTGCATATATGTTGTGTGATATCTTGGGGGATGGGACCCAAGTCCAAACAAAGTTCACTGATGTTTACTACGCACACTATACATATAGCCGACAGTAAGTTTTACACTATCTTTAGTGTCACATGAAGTAGGATGTGGAATTTTCTGCCTGTGCCATGTTGGTACTCAGAAAGTGATGGAACAAAGACATAAGCCTCAGCCATTCTTGCTCACTGCCCAAAAGATCCATAAACATGGGAATTTATTCCTTGCCCTTGAATCTCAACTGGGTCTCACACTCTATTGCCTTCACACCCACCTTGCATTCTTTTCCAGGCTCCCAAAGCCCGCTCAGTTCCAGGAATTCCCCTCTGCCTGCTACCCCCTATAAGGACTGCTCAACCAGTACTGCAATCACTATCATTACTGAGTACCCACTACGGGCTGGCACCCAGCACAGCCCTTCCCCACATAGTGAGTTACTTCCTTATTTCCTCCTGCCCACCTGTACCTATGAGAAAAGTCCTCTTCTCACCCTCATCTTCTAGAAGTGGAAAGCAAGCATGCAGCCTGCTCCAGGGTTCACACATTGAAAGTGGAAGGTCCCATTGTCAAACTCACTAACAATTGTTTCAACCTCTCCTCCCTGTTGCCCAGAGGCGTCAGCGCCAAGCCAGAGAACAGCAGGTCACCTTGCCCTGTGCTTTCCCTCTGGGGGCAGAGTCGCAGAGGGGTGCTCACAGGGGAGGGGACTGGGACAAGGGGAGTGCTGCCATTTGAGTCCCCTGCTGCCCAGCCCCAGCCACAGCTGGGTGCACCCGGCAGGCCAGTCGAGCACCCAAGCCCAGGCATCCTATCCGGGCTGCCTTGGGGTGCCCCACTGTGTTTTCCACAGCAGACCCACTGCCGACAGAGCCTGGAGCAGCCCTTTAATCCCACTACGTGCTGGGTTGGTGCTCTATCTCTCGGAGAAG